AATTCTTACCAAAATCTTATGAATTCTTATAAAATAATTATATAATCTATCTTACCGAATTCTTATCAGAATCTTATAAGATTCTTATATTCCTTCTTATAAGAATCTTATCAATAAATTACGCATTGCCATCGACTGCCTTATATAAGATTCTTATAAGATTCTTATAAGATTTCTATAGAATTGCTGTAAGATCGGTCGACTAGGGCAGCTGTCCAACCTCGATTTCTTTCAAAACATACGTCAATCGATATCCTATATCGAGATAGTAGAAAAGCCTAAAAGGATTTATTCCCATGACTCTTGAAGACCCAATTTTATGAAAAACTGGTTTTCCAGAAACTCTAAACAAATAACCAAAACATTTCTTAATAAGGCATGATTGTAGCCCGGAAATGTTTGGCTAAAATAAGATATCTATCAGCTCTACTCGACCTTTCTTTGCAAAGTTATAGAATTTACAAGAGAAGCCCTAAGTGTTCATTGTCAGCTCAAAGCTACAGAAATAAGACGAAATCAATTTAGGGCTTTTCTTGTAAATTCTATAACTTTGCAAAGAAAGGTCGTGTAAAGCTGGAAGATGTCTCATTTCAACCAGAAATTCCCGGGCTACAATTATGCCTTATTAAGAAACGTTTTGATTATTTGTTTAGAGTTTCTGGAAAACCGGGCGTTCAACGGCCATGAGGATAAATCCTTTTAGGCTTTTTACTCTCTCAATATAGGCATCGACTGATGTATGTTTGAAAAAAGTCGGTGTCGGGCAGCTGGGAATGTTCCGGCGTAAGTAGAAGAACAAATATCTTCATTCCGAAATAGTTACTGCAAGAATGTTTAGACATTCATTGCTAGTACATTTTGGGGGAGAGCGGTCAAAACTTTTTTTCTTGGAAAAACGAGAATGGTCATTTTGTGTTTAGTGCTCATACCCTATCATTTTGTGAATTATAAGCTCCGTTAATATCAAACATTTTGTCAGCTGAAAACAATACTCTTAATATTTGATCTTCACGAAAATTGTATTGAACCTATTATATAAATCTTTTCTATTAATTTTGTATATTGATTGTCAAATAGGCAATGTTCATTCTATTATTGTTTTGTACAGTGCCCATTCGAAATCATTTTACACTTACGGTCAGTTGTTACAAAAATTTACTCTATCATTTAAATCACACAATATTTTGGTTGGACTGTGATGCTTGTCATGCGGGGATAGTACCAGTTTTTGATCTTTAATTCTCATTTTTAGCAACATTTATCTAAGCTGAAACAAAAGATTCAAATGCGCCACCACTTTGTATAGAATTGAAACGGCTATCGCTTGGAAAATAGATTGAGGTCCTGAAATTAAAGGCGAACAAGTTATAGTCAAAATACTGAGAGCACCATTCCTTATGGCCCATCCGTTACTATCTCTCTTAAAGAAATACCGTCCTATTTGTTTTGGTGGTCAAAATAGTGGTTCTATTGCTATATATTCTGCATACGCTTCAAGCTGAAAATAAGAACCGTCATTACAAATGTATAACAAAGTTTCAGCATATTCGTTTCACGGAATTTTATGTTTAACTTTAAAGTTTGAATTTTTGTCAGAAAGTTAATCCTGAGATAACAGCCAGCAAACTGTCTTCTTTTTGAAGGAGTAATGTTTGTACGGATACGAAGAGTTTTGTAGTGTTTGGAAAAACTTTAAGAACTCAGAAAATATGAGATTTTCACGACCTTTTTTCTTGTCCTAGAAACAGCGGCTAATATTTTTCGATAGTAATGTATTGCTAAGTATACTGCAGTCTGCAAAATAAGACATTCATCCACTCTCCACACTCTTCCCCACTTTATATGTATTTGTTCTTTATTAACCGCCATTAATCCACGTATCTTTTATTAACCGATTTTAAATAGTTAGACCAGATTGTAGAACATTAATTCATTTTAACTGAAAGAAACATGAGAACACTAGGATGCTCGGCAAGCTGATTTTTATTTTTTATTTATATTAGTGGAAAAAGATCTTTAGATCATCCATTAATAGGTATGGGACGAACCGAGCGCTCGTCGCTCGAGCACATTCTACACGAGCGCGCTCGTGCACTGCAATATAGTTTTTATAGAAATACATTTTTTTGTTTACATAACAAGTGAACAGCTATTTACACAGCAAGTAAACAATTACTTAAACATTTTTTTTCTGTGAGAGAACTTATTTAAATTAGGAATGATATGCGAGCGCTCGGATACGGAGCGTGATTCGTAAATCAGTCGCTCGAGCAACAAGCGCGCTCGAGCGCCCGCTTGATACGTCCCATACCCAAAAATTAACTCCTGTCGATGGTCTGACAAAAATTTATGGCAGAAAAATGTCGAATTAGAGAGATCTCAATTAGAAAGTTGAAAAGAAAGGAAACTTTGAATCACATATCCAGGAAAGAAGGTAAAGCGCGTAAGTAGAGAAAGTGGAACAGAACAGAAGAGATTGAGTCCCAAAAAAGGGTCTTTTTATCTGGACATTCTTAATAGTTGGTCTCAAATGGAAAACAAAAGTAAAGAGAGTAAACTTTCCTTTCACATAAGAGTTATAAAGAATGTTCCGTTTACTTTTGTAGGTGCTAAGTATTTTAGAAAATGTTCGACAGCCATGTGTCAACGGAATTGTTATTGATTGGCATAATGATCAACTAGCTGAAAGTAATAACTTCCAGTTTCTCCAAGCACCATCCAACATTCATTCGTTATTTAATGGCATGCGTTTAACAGTTTATGGTTTTATTAATGATAGTTACAAGGTAAAAAGAAAAAAGAACGCTAAACAAATGAGAACACGACTAACGCTCTTTTCTTTTGCGCAGACAACATTAAAAGCAAATGTAAATGGGCATGAATTTATCACAACTATTTTTGCAAATAAAATGACCGAAACAACTGGGAAAATTCTACATTGTTTAACAGCACGTGCTATAATCGATGATTGGGAAAATGGTCTGTTAAGTATGGATGATACAGTTAATGAAGTAAGTTACATACTTATTTCTAATACAAAACAATTGTTAGTTCGTGAACATAATTCTCATTTAGTTAATAAAATCTCAATATAAGCAGCATATTATCGACTTAAGTACGAAATATTCAATTGTTAGTCCATTCACAAGTTTTGTGGCAATCGAAGAACGACATAAAGAAGATAAAAATATACAGCAAGGTAAATATATCCTTTTCTGGAAATCTTTGAAAATGTAGGCTTTTTTTCTTTTGGAAAAAATTCTTCATTAGTTAATCTCTCTTATTTATTCATAATTACAGGTGTTAGTCTATTAAATGTAATGGTTGACAAAGATATCGATTTACTACCGTGTATTGGATGGGATGGAGAAAACTCACAGGTATATGTTATGCAAGTCTGCGTTTCTAGGAAAAAGAAAGAAGTGGATTAGTAAAATAACTAAAAATCTTCCGAAACTTGTCCAGATTCTATGATTGTGAATACGTGCAAATTTGTCATTGTCTTTGGTGGAGTGCTTTTCCGTTTCTAGTTGCACAAATGAAAATGTTATTTCTGAACAAAGCATATTCTGATACAAATATCCTTTCATTTTTCATTTTCAAGGTGCACTTGAATTGCTTTTTCTCGTACGCATTAATCTTGTCTCTTAAGGAAACTCTCCCAACTGATAAATCGCTTTTTTGCTCAAAACTTAGCGGATTATACGTAGCGACCATGTTGATTCAAATCAGTGATTTCGATTATCAGCATCACAGCTGCTGCTAGGCTGTTAGGGACCAGCCTCTGGAAAAATCGATCTCGACTTCAAAAACCTATTGATATGAAAAATATTTTTGATCTCTCCAGATTAAAGACCGCATCGAATAACCTATAAAAAAGTGATTTTCAGCAGTCCAGACTGATCTTTGACTCAGAGAAAAATCATTCGTACTTGAAACACGCTTTCTTAGCATTCGTAAGGAGAAGAAATATGCCTATATGTGCTTCACAAATCATTCTGAAAATAACAGAACTAAGTTTTTCATAGGTTATTCGATGCGGTCTTTAATCTGGATAGATCAAAAATATTTTTTACCGTGAATTTTCGAAGTGAGAACCCAGTTTTCCAGAGACCAGTCTTTGACAGCCTATCAGCAGCTGTGATGTTCATGTTCGGAATCAGCATGGTCGATTACGTATAATCCGCTAAGTTTCGAATAAAAAGCGATTTATCAGTTGGGAGGTTCCTCGTTAGTCACTAACACTAATTACTGAGTGCTCTTCTACAGTGAATAACTTTCAGATTGATAAATAGAGTGAGCTATTTGAAACACGACATGTCAACTAGACTTCTGAATCCATTCGCTAAATTACGAAATAATAGGGGAATAAATGTTTATAAATAAGGATTACTGAGAAATGTGAAAATTTAAATCACGTACGTACACCGAGAAAAAAAATCGTGAAACTCATGACGGTTTTTATACGCGGTTTCTCACAGTCAGTTTGGCACGGTTTTTTCTCACGGTTTTAGTTGTTCATGCTTTTGTTTCCTATGGTTCCTATATAACAGTTTTTCTTTGACGGTTTTAAAACTGTTAGAAAAACCGTCCCGGTAAAACTGTGCAAGTAAAATTGTCTACTTTGAAAGAGAAGAAAAAAGGAACAGCTCCAGGAATCGAACCTGGGACGCTTGACGAGTATGAATTATGAGACCAAGACGCAAACCACTGAGCTGAGGAATTTACGGAAATATGTTTTCGCACTGCATACTCATCATGTTCTCGAGTAGACTTCTGTAAAAACCATGTATTTGAAATATAAAAGAGAAGCGCGAACTGTATAAGTGTGCACATATATCATATGATACCATCGAGTGTATTCTATAACGCACGCCTAGAAACTTATGGTTAGGAGAAGATATTCACTATACCCTTCCGCTCTACCTTCTAAGACTATAGGCATCAGACAATTACAAGATAATCAGAGCTTCAAAGAAAAGAATTGATAAAACGAAAAAGTTCACAAAACAGGCATATTTTGCAGAAACATGTGCTGGAAGACGACTTCTCCTCCTCTTTGTTTCAAGTGCCATTTACTCTCTGATCTACCCGATATGCTCTTTATTGAATAATCCGGAGTGTGAGGTAGATTTATTGAAAAGTTTCTTAAACTTATATTAGTTGATTAGGAAGACTTTTTGACGTGCCAGCGACTGAAACTGCACATGTTTTAATGAATTTTGTAGCTTCAATAAAACCGTCAACTAAAAAGCTTGAAAACGCTTTCACGATTTTCCTCTTCACGCTTTTACTTTCATTGCTTTTCTTTGGCAAACTCTCAGTTCATTCATGATTTTATTTCTACAGTTTTGACCTTTACGCTATTTTTTCATGGTTTTAATTATACAGTTCATAAACTGACGATTTTATTTTAGGGTTTTTCTTCGATGCATCGAAAGTAGACGGTTTTGTTCCTATTGTTTTAACCTTTACGATTTTACTTCCATAGTTTTTCTTTTATACTTTTGCATTTTACGGTTTTTATAATGTGGTTTTATACTTCATGGTTCTTCTACCCGGTTTTCTTTCGATGGTTATTGATTTTACAGTTTTTCTTACGCTATGTTTTTCGCCGTATGAATTTAATTTCCTCATACAATACAGATAAAGCAAAGCAAAGTTTTACCTATACACCCCAAAAGTTAGTGCTGTCTGTTTTTTTTATAGTTAGAATCAATGAAAGAAAAAATTATCAATCTTAAGAAATCAATTGAATCTGCATCAATACAAAGCAAAATTCAGTCATGTTTAGATCTAATATCATTATGTAAAAACGTTTCATATCGTCAATGTCAAGAAAAATTTGATGCAATGCAAACATTAATTGAAACATATTATTATTCATTAAAAGATCAAGAAACAGCTGTAATACTCATAAAGCAAATGAAAATTGGTATATACAAAATATATCTTTGTTTTGAGTTTTATTTACATGTCACATTTTTGTGTTTAGATGTTAAAGTTGAAATGGATAATTCAATATATGAAGAACGAACAATAATTGAAAATCGTATGAATTCAATTGAATATATGTGTAATAAAATGTAATAGAATTGACATGAAAATGATAAATTATTCGTATTTTGTGTATTCTTGTCTTTTTAGATTACAAAGTGAGGAGGAGTTACGTAAGTACCAGAAAAAGTTGTAAAATTATAGAAAATCTGACGCCTTTGGTTTTGTTATAGTTCAAGAAAAATTGACATTAGCAGAACCAGGCACTTCTGATGGAGAAGAGCATGTCGCTTCATTAATCAAAGTAAGGTATATAATTTAATTTTTGAAAATACAAAAATATCTTTTGTCGTGTTTAGGATGATGATCTAATGTCAAGTCTGCAAAACTTGCTTAAGAAAAGGAGATGTCATTTAGACGCACTTCCTAGTGAAAACTCAGATTATTCCGAACATCTAAAAACTGGTAAGGCCAACAGTAATCGCAACTGTACAATTATTGCTTACGAAAAGGCGATATTGTTTAGAAGCATTTGGTAATGAAAATTCAGATTATTTTGAACACCAAAAAACCAGTGGTAAGACCAATACATTCAAATATTTGTTTGAAAACGTTGATTTAACTGATATTGACGATACACAAAGAGATGAATGTACACTGACAAGCAGAAATTTTTCTTGATGAGAGAAAAATCCGAAAATTTTTCGTTTTTGAAAACGTAAAATCTTGAAATTTTTTATTAGAAAAATTTTGCACTGTCAGTCTAAGAGTATGAGCTATATTCTCATCTGGATACAATTATATCCCGATCAGAATTTATACAGCATTTTGTATATACTAATTTTCTTCAAATACAAATTATGGGTGGATCGCTATCTTACTAATAATTATTCATTTCTCTAGTCAGTACAGTGTAGTTTATGTGACCTTAAGCTCTAGTGGCTCCAGTTCATAGAGTAAACATTTGTGGTTAAAATCAGACGTCTCCCAGCATCAAACGCTACTTCGATCGAAAGTTATGACAGTTTTATTAAGCGCCCTAAAACGTGTATCATACACTAGCACCACTATATCTCAAAAGCGACTTCCTACGTGATAAACACTGTCGGAAAGATTTCTCCGTCAAATTCAGCTTTTGAGGGGAACTCCTTCGATCAATAACACAAAGAAAAAATGCAAAAATCCAGCTTTGTTACATCGTTAGTCTAACTTCAATTTATATTTTAAAACCAGTCCAATCCCTCCAGCGGTTTTCTGAGAGAAGAAATCCGACGGACAGTAGATGCCCCATTCCGACCCATGTTTGAGCAACATCACCTAAACGATGATACATGAAGCCACTAAACTTATGTAGTAACTATTCCTCAACATGCCCAACATTCTCCAAAATTTTCGCTCAGATCAGACTTGTGGTTACTGAGACAGATTTCTGAACTGGAAGGGGGCAGTCGTGGAATGGCTCGCTCTATAGCTTGTTAACTTAGAGGTTTTGATAATACTGTTTGAGGAAATAATCCGTCTAATATGTAAACATATGAAAGGACAAAGCACCTTGTTTCTGTTTTTTTTTTTTCTTCTTAGCATAGGCGGCGGAGCGTCTTGAAACTAGGTGAGGCTCATAGCATTTTCTTCTCTTCTCCCATCGGGTACTCTGCGTCAAGTACAATAAGGTGTGCATAATGCAAACCTGCAACTAAATGTTTTTTCCAACTTATTATGCATCGCTGAATAGAGTTCAATCATCGAGCTGATTAAGAAAATGTATTTTTTAATTTTTTCAAAATTAAAATCTCCTTTTTTCATGGGGAGAAATCTAAAACACTTCAAGGACGTAAAAACTCAAAAAATCTTTGTTATCGCGACTCTAGATTTTGTGTGTTTCGATGTGTATTTTGAGACTTTTAGTTGATTTTTAGTTTTGGGTAAAAATCTACGTAAGTTTTTTGACGTGAAAGTTCGAAAAAAATTGAAGTAGTCGAATAGGATAAAAATGCTTAGCTTTCACGGAACTGCATAGCTTTACAAACTTGCATGTTCGCACTTTAGATGGCTGATTTGAGACGTTCGTGCTGGGACAGACTTTTAACGTCGAAATTGATCAAACACCATTTTTATACGCGGTTTTTAATGCTGAATCCGAAAAAAAATCTTTAAAAACTTCAAAACAAACTAGAACCGAGATATTAAAGCTTGTTTGAACTTGAAGGACTTTTTGAGTTTTTTCATCCTTCGGCGTAGTCAGCTAACGGTCCACCTTCGGATGCGAAGATTCGAATTTTTGTGCTTAAAAATACATCATTAAACGCAGTTTTTCACAGTGATCACAAATGTGGACTCAAAAACAAATGAAATGTATTGAAAAATTTTTAAAAACGGATGAGTAATGAAAAGCATTTTTGTAACGATTACTTTCAGTGTTTTACACGTAAAAACGTGGAATGAGCAGAATTTGAATTTTTCGGAAAACACTATTGTTTTATACTCGAATAAATTCAATGGTTCTCCGGTTGAATTTTTTTTGTAGCTAATGCATGTTGTAGAGTAACGTTTGTCCTACAATCTAGATTGAAACAAAGTTATTTTTCAAGTAATAAAAACTTTTTAAACCCGTATTCTAAAAGAGAATAAAATTCTGTAGTTGGCGTGCAGCAAACGGAAACAGCCTGAATCTTTAAGATTTGGTTTGAGTTTGTTTCAAAATCTTAAAAGTTTCAGCTAGTAATTGTGTGCAGTTCATTATTATAACTCTCATTGTTCACTCATCTTAGATACACTGGCACAGCTTTGGTTTAAACTATATTTATTTTAAAGATGAAGACATCCAAATAACTCTCCAACTAAAGCGGCAAATTGCTAGTAGTTCATCCTTGATAAATAAATACGACAATGAGTGTGAAAATGAGGCAGAGACGGGATTTGGCTTGTTCGATGATTATGGTGGTGGGTACAGCAGGAACATGTTTCCAGTACAGTCACTAGTATCATCGAGTCATAGCACCATAGCTACACAACAACAAGAGCAATACAACGATGAATCTGAAGACAACGGAGACATGGGATTTGGCTTGTTCGATGATTATGATGATGGGTACAGCAGAGACATAGAGCAACTAGTATTATCGAGTCCCGGCACCATAGCTGCACAACAACAAGAGCAGTTAGAATTAGAACAAGGTAGTAAATTTATTGCACGATTAAACGACATGACTTATGATATGTCATATAAAATTGAAGCTCAAAATTTGAAGCCACCAATCAATGATGAACCTACCCATGCAAAAATTGTTGATGAAAAAGGTCGTTTAAACTATGAGATTAGGCCTTTCAGTTACAATGATCGCTTACAATCTTCGATTCCAGCTCCACCACCCGTCCCATCATTTATGCAACAAGTCGCAGCAATATCAGATTATTTTCAGACATCAACTTCCGTCACATCAGCCCAATCATTTTCAGCTCCGTCGTTTTTGTCGGTGTCTTCCAAATTTTCAGTGCCAACATCAATACCATCAGAGGCACAAATGGATAGCGATACAATTAAAAAATATAAAAAAGAAATGCTAGAAATGGAAAATGTGGCGCTTCCGCTTGCTAATAATGACCGAGAAACGGCCGCCGTTCAGTCCACTTCTATATCAAAGACATTAAATCTATTCGAAGGAACTTCAGATACTGCTGCCAGTACTTTATTATCATCAAAAAGAAAAAGTGCATGCTATGATTCAGACAGCAACTATCAGGGAAAACAAATGAGTTCAACTAGCGCTCGTTTTACTGATGTAGACGACTTTCTTTTAGATTACTTCGAAAAAGCATCATTACTTCTATTGCTTTTAGACAAGACAAGATGCCCGATTATCATCATGGGACAACCACTCATTTACACCGTCGAATTTTCGTGATTATAGACTAACATCTAAATCGACTACTGTGACAAAAGTGTATGTCAATAGAAATTAGAAGAAAAGGAAAATAATTAAAAATGATGATCAATTTAGGTCTGTTGACAATGGAACGGACCGAACTTCCTTCAAAGAAAAGAAGAAGAAAAACAAAGATTGCCACAAAGAGCAATCAAAAAAGCAAGAAAAAAAACATGTGAGATTTGTCAAATAGAGTTCAGTTTCAATAATAAATTAAATACTTCTTTTAGGTTGCCTTTATATTATCTGCTGGGTGCACCTTTAATCGATCTTCACGATGAGAACTGATATTTACTGCTTTTCATCGTAAAGATCGATTTGTAGAAAGATGCACCCAGCAGATAAAATCTAGAAATTAAAGTTGCCATACTTTTGTTGCTAAACTCAATTTTGAGAAACTCTTCCTTCAAGGTGAAAAGTCAGAAATACCACTTATTTGGCTTATTTCCGATTTTGTATACCGTGCATCTTTCTTCCGGGATAAACAGTTGTTGATTGAACAACAGATGCTTTCTTCATATTCTGTCAAACTTATTTTCAAAGAACTTGTGCAACATTTTCGGTTATGATTGCCTTCGGTTAATCGGTTAAAAACCGAAACCGGTGCATGCCTAGTCTCTGGTATTCCTCTATCGACTGATCGATGAAAAAGTCGCATTAGGGCCATCATCCCGATCCAAATCGCCAAAGTCGGGACACAAAATGGGATGACTCACCCAATTTGTTTTTTTATACCGCTGGTCATAGGCCATTTCTATGCTAATGATGAAACGAAAGAACTTTCAATGTTGCTACGTTTATAGAGTACGGCTTGTCCAGCTACCGGCCTCCTTTTCTAGCTGTTTTTTCAAAGAACTGTGGTAATAAAGTTAGAAAATAATCTAAAATTACAACTAGATAAGTAAATAGATTAAACATTTCTCTACAAAATGAAAAGTGTTTCAGCTCTGAACATTGGTTCCCTATGAAAATACAACTGTTATACAAACAGCCTTCCAAAATCGGTTTTGGAGCTATCTGAAAAGCATGTCTAAAAGAGTGAAGACAAACACCCGAAAATTGAACAAGTATACCAGTTCGTAGAAAATTATTTGTTCTACAAGATGTGATAGCTTTCTAAGTTTGAAACTATTCTAATTAATCTGTATTAATCAAAGAAAAACCAGAAAAACCGTGACACTGTAACAAAAAACGGTCAGAAGTGGTAATTTTAGATTATTCTCTAACTTCAACCCACTAATCACTACCACTAGTGAATTTTCAATTATCAAGTGTAAATTCAACCCACTAATCGAAGATCTACAAAGTGCGGAAGGTTGAGATGAATAATATGCATTTTAGGCGAGCTTCTAATAGAATTTTCTAGCAAAATCTGTGAAAAAAGCTCCCTCAAAAGGATATTTTTCCGACACTTAGAAAATTGAACAAAAATACTTCAGAAATCAATATTAGAAAAGCCTATAATATATGATTCGACGCATCTTCATTTCCTCTTTCCAACGGTGAACACCGCAGCTCTCTATCTT